TCAAAAAAAAAAAATACTAGCGCGCCAAAAAAAAAAAAAAATTCCCCCCCCCCCTCTCGCGGAGAGGGAGGAAAGGACATATTCCTTTTTTTTTGTATGAGGGGGGCAGGCCACCCGAAGCGCAAGCCCCCTTGATGACAAGCATGAAGTTAAGGGGTAAATTCTGTTTTCTCTTTACACTCCCTCGCACACTCTCACATTCTCACACATAACCACACCTACTCTTACGAACCCTCCTTCCACTTTGTTCATTTCCACTGGTGTCTTTTTTTTGTTCCTAGGACTGAAGCTCGTCCCTAAAATGGAACCTTTATGCGGCGTCTGTTAAAGGAATTGGTGGCCCCCGGTTTTCGTCTTTCTCTGTTGTTTAGCCCCCCTCCCTGTGTTTTTGCGTGCTTGTTCCTGTCCTTTTTTCCCAATATCAATGGCTTCCTTTTAATGTCTCCATACACTGTCTATTCCCCCTACCCCTGTTTTGTGCCTTGGTGATATCTGGCCGGCTCTCCTTGCCCGTGTAATAATGTTTCTTCAATCTGTACCATGAACGAAGTTGATCTACGATTCTATCTATACCTATTGTTATAACATGTTTTTCGCATAGTTGTCAGTTTCACATCCCCATTTACTCAGAGTCTAGCTGTATGCAGTAGTAAGCCTCTGGTCGCTGCCCTGGTCAAAGTCTCTGGCCGAAGGGATGCCTTTAGACTCCCACACTTCGATCGGGAGATTCCCTTGCTCCACGGTCCCGCTCGGGCCCAGAAAGAACTCCGTCGTAATCTGCCTGCGAAGGGGCTTGTCGGTGTAAGATCGAGGTATGGTTTCTCCCCTGCCTAGAACGCGCAGCACAGTAGGCAGATAGCCGACTGGTAACGTCGAGCCAGACAAAAGATCCTCACGCAACTTTGCAAGAGTCAAACCCTCTCCCTCAGCTTCAGGCTTCAGTCGCACTAGCACTGCGATGTGTTCACCCACCGAAGCCTCTGGAGCTGGAACGGCATATGCCTCATCGACATAATGCAATCTCAATAGCTGCATCTCCAGCTCGGGAATCGGCACCTTATATGCATGATGCTTGATAACTACCGGCCCACGCAAAGAGGGTAAAAAGTTAGCATATTCCCCTGAAGGATCACAGAAGGAAATCAGGGCATAGCCGGGTAAAAGGAATACTTGCAGTCGTGCTTGAGCCGGCCATCAATGATATAAACGCCGTTCGCAATATGACCTCTGTCTCCCGTCTTGTAGAAGCCCTCACCATCAAAGACATCTGCTGTGGCTTTGGGATCTCCCAGGTAGCTGATCGAATATTTGGTTAACAAGAAGTGTACAACTAGCCAACTCTCGCAAGGCAGCAACTTACTGAGAAACCACTGTAGGCCCCTTAATCAGAATCTCGCCGTGATCACCCTCAGACAACTTCACCTCTAACTGGCCATAAGGGGTTCCGGCAGATCGCTATCACACAGGCTGTTAATTACCTCGACTTGTGTGCAGAATTAAATGGCAGTGGTAATCTAACCTCGACATCCTCTTCAACGTCTGCTGCAGTACGGAGCCCACATCCTCCCATCTCGGCGGCAGAGTAAAGGTTCATTAAGGGGTGGCCGAATATCTCTCTCCAGAACTTGAGTACTGGAGGGAATATTGGTATCGCGCCAGCCATGGCTAACTTGACATCCCGTGCGCCATGGCGATATGGCTCTAGCTCCTCTGGCGATAAACTACTCAGCTCGTTAATATAATACTTCATCATGCTCATCCACACGTTTGAATGGGCCATGAGGAAGGTAACACCGCCCTGTCGAAGCCGGTTCCAAGCCACCTCGGGCCTGCTGGGCTGGGAATCAAATATTTCGATTCTCACGCCATTTATCAGCAGCTTCGTTGGGGGCCAGACACCACCGACCCAGTTCATGGCCGTGATCATGGTGATGAATACATCATCAGGGTCACCATCTGGCATAGGGATATTGTAGAAATCCCGCGTCAGAACGACTCCCTTGGGCGGCCCTGTACTTCCGGATGTACCCAGAACGAGACTGGGGCGAGTAGGCTCAATTGTAAGACCCTCATTGATTTTGATATCAATCTGACATGCGTGTTCCCCGTCGGTTGTATCCGCGGCAAATGATATGGGAACCAGGCCTAAGGAAGTCGACTGTTGAATCGCCAGCGCTTTTGCTTCCAAGTCTGGTGCAAAGACAAGACATGAGGCCTCTGACTTGTTCTTGAATCGTGTAGCTTCGTCGACGATACACTGGCAGCTATC